CGCTGTTACGTAGGACTCGGCGCTCCATGAGGCGTCTACGTATTGATGTCTGTGCCTGAAACAGTCAAACCTCTCTCACAGAAGAGAAGAGAGTGATTGATTTTTAGACCTGCTTCGCATGCAGAGGAAATGCGATGTAGAAAGCTAAAGCTGCTCAGCCTTAATTAGCCAAACAAGCTAACATTCACCCCAGAACCATGTCTACAACCAACCTCCTTAAATCTGAGCCACAAAAATAGACACGTGTGCACCAGTAAATCTTAATAACTTTATTGTCTTTGTTCTCATGATTTTACAAATATGATACTTCTGCAATTCAACTTTGACTGTGCAACACAATGGCATTATGGACTGTTAACCTGACGTCCCAAGGGACATCCGTGATTCCAGAAGGTTGTGAATCCTGCAGGCCAAAGGCCTTAAAATGTAAGTTTTGACCGTTTAGTGTCATCTATGTAGTGTTACGTAAATATCCCGCCTGCTGGATTCACTAGCAGCTTGCACATAATGGTCCACGGGTGACGTAATGACGGCTACTTTCAGGTCGGAGAGCGACTCCTCGGACGTGGGCTTGAAGTTAGACAGTCTCTTTGGATGAGGCTGGTTGTTACTGGTCAGGGCGGCTCGTCTTTTTCTTAGAAATGGGTGATCTCGCCATGTAGGTTTACAGATAAGAACAATGGCATGCAAGACTCACATACAGACCCACTTATTTCTTTTATTTTTTTTCTCCATTTAAAATAAAAAATAAAGATTCCGACATGGTGGAAACACCCAACGGCCAAGCGTATTGAACTATACGGAGGACAAGTGAATTTTATTTCTTTTTTTTTTTTACTTGGTATGGCCGCTAAAACCATTTCAACACGACAGCTGGCTTCTTTTCATATTCAACAAGTCCCTTTGTGAGGACATAATACATCTCACAGTTATATTATTTCTTCTTCTACACTTTTTTTTATTACAAACGTATGTGCTTTTGATTTGAAACGACTCGGGGGGAGAAGCTGAGAAAGTTTTGCATTTCAGTACCAGTCCCACCCTCGAACCGCCACGGCGAGTTTTATTGCAAATGAAGTGATAGATAACCTCTGAACAGCAACACACACTTCAATATGGCACAAGCGTCTGAGAGATGACCGAGATATGACGTCGTCTGAGTAAGAGGGCGAATATAGAAAAACCAAACCACACCAAATCTGAAAATATTAAGACGGTAATCAATAGGAAAGAAAACATGCAGTCTGACGCTCTGCAAGCAAAACCATAAAAAGAAAAGAGGGGAAAAAAATAATAAAAGAAAAATAAATGCTGCGCTTCCAAAAAACTCGTGTTATTCCAGGGCTGGATGAGGATTCCTTCTCTTCGGAAATCGCACGCCGGCTTGCGAAGTGAAGCACGAATCGACCCGACTGCCTGAAACGTTGCATTTCGTCAAATAAAACTTTGCAGAAAATAATCTGAACTCTCACCTTAAAGCACTCGTTTGCCTACAGATGTCGCGCTGAGACATCCTGTGTGCTTGTCTTGCTCAGCTTTGGCACCGTCCCTGAGGTACCCGACTGGAAATCTGGAAACCCAGCCCCCTCCCCCCCACTTATTGAGGATCTTGTTGTCTCTGGAGTGTTGAGGAGAAATCTACACATGAAGGCATTTTCCTCCAGCCCTTTCTTCGACTACAAATAAATATTGTTTAAAGTAAGGGCGACTTGGTAAACGACAACAAAACAAAACAAAAAATGTAGTGGCTTCATAACTTAACAACACTCCTGCTTGGTCAAATAAAGAAAGAAACATTACAAGGAAGGATATATCTAGAGCAGTGGTTGTTTTACAATGGCGACAACTATGTCGAAAGAATGACCTCAGTTTGTCGTGTCCTTTAGAACAGCTGCGCTCAGATGGAGGTCATGCTCCGTCTGATCCAAGTCTCCGCCCGCTCCCATCAGAGGAGGGCTGCTCAATCGGCGTAGTGCATGATGGACTCTACATAGTTACCGGGGAAGAGACCCGTGGTCCCGTTCATCACGCCCTCAAACCAGCCGTCGTCGTTCTTCTTGATCACGTAGATGATGGCGCCCTCCTGGAAGGACAGCTCGTCTTCTTTGTCGCGGGTGTAATCGTAAATGGCCACCACTGAGGCAAGGAAAGAGGGAAAGGACGTACGTGAAGTGTTCCTCTGTCATTTGAACATCAAAAAACATCTTCAGGACATTAGGAAGCTTCTGGGGAAGTTAAGACATTTTACTGCTGAACGTGAGAAAACAGGCAGAGTTCATTTAAACTGGTTGGTTTTCCAGCTTTGAAGTAAATTCAGATTGAGAAGAAAAACAAACTGTGTCCAAAACAAATAAACACATGATTTTTTAAGTAAATGTATGAATACAGTTTATGTGATTTTTCCTTTCTGAACACAAACCTTTCTCCAGATAGCTGCGTGGAGCCCATGGTGGGTCTTCCTCAGCGTAGGGGTCGGTGTACTCCACCACCGCCGACTCTTCTTCTTCCTCGTCATCCTCATAGTCCTCGGGCGGAGGCGGGGGCGGGGTGGGCTCCTCGAACACCGGCTCGTCGGCAGGCGGAGGTGGCGGCGGCACGTCTGAAACTACAGGTAGCCATGGAAACGCGAGATGACTCATTATGAAGGAAAGAGGCAATCAAGAAAACGCTGAAGGGTTTAGGACGTAAACAAGGTGCCATGCGGGTTCAGAGAAAGGCGTGCTGACGTAAAAACAAATATGATGCATGTAAAGTAAAAAAATATCCCACAGTAACATGCTTTAGTAATATGAACCACCAACATCTGCTGCCACGGAAACCTGCAGTTATCCCACATTCACTTTTAATGATGGCATCATCTCAGACAAAATTCCTGCAGGTTTAGTTTAAACAGTCTGAATGTGGAGCAGCAGCAGCTCATGTTGGACAGCAAGATCAACCAAACATTGAAACAAAAAGAGACACCATCTGATGAGGAAGGTGGAGTTCACACAAGCCAAGGTCATGCAGAGGGAAGCAAGGTGCTAAAACACTACTTACTAGTCTCCTGAACTCGGGCCACAAAGCCCATGAGAGGCAGCTGGGGGGTGATCTGCATGGATGGGGGAGGGGGCGCGTGTGGGCCTGCTAGCACCAGTACACATAATCAGACACCAGCATGAGGTTAGAGAGTACAAGAGAAGCACAACAGAGTTAAAGGTCAGAAAAAGAAGAGCAGAGACTTCAAAGAAAAAGTTCAGTCTCTGAATATTCATTTGATTTTTCCCATTTTATTTTGATTTAAGTGTTGGTAAAGTGAATATATTTGAAAGGAGGACATAAGAAGCTCTTATCAAGTTGAAGTTATACAAGCAGACAATTTCTGGCAGAGAAACGGGACAAAATATTGCAATAAGACAAAAAGTGAAAGCGCGAAGTGTCCTGATGTCGATACGAAGCGTCAGAGTCGGACAGGAAATGATTTAATAAGAAAGAAACAAGCCAAAGATCAGTTTTGGCTACAACCTAAAAAGTTCAGAGACAAAAGCTTCGTTTTTGTCGAGCAGCAGAAATGAAAATGAAAAGTGTCTGATCAGCCCCTCCTACAAAGTCTTGTATTTTAAATAGTTCACCTCATAAAGTAGCTCATAAATGTTAAGTAGAAGGAAAAGGACAGATGATTTTCTAAATGTTCTAAAGACTGAAAAGTAATATTCAACAATATTTAATCATCTACCACAGTTATGTGCTGCTTTGTCCCATAAAACCCTAATAAAAACACCCAGGGAGTTTGTGACAAAGCGAGTCTGGACCCGCTCTGCGTTACCTTGGTTCTGGGCAAAGTGTGGCCCGCCGTTCAGCTGGCTCTGGTTGTGGTGGGTCGTGTTGGGCTGGCCTGTGACCGACGAGGGCCGGCGGAACGGCAGGGACCCCCCGACCTGGGGGTTCTGGGGCTGCTGCTGCGCCGGGCGGTTCATGCTGTAGAACTGAGGCGCACCTATCGACAGACGACAGCAGGGGGCAGCAGAGACTCCTCAGTTGGTGAAAGAAACTACAAACATTAACATTTAATAACAGATGGAATGAATGATATTGGGCTAATTCTGCAACACTTAAGCAGCTTACAAATAAAATGCTAGGTGCTAATTAATTATGATTAAGTTCCGTTAAATTAAATGTACACCATCTGTTATTTATCTTAGTTGCTACTAATATAAATAGACAGAAATTCAAATGACTGAAGGAAAACATAAATGACTCATGATGTTCAAGATGAGAAAAGTCAAGAAACTGCCTTTTAGGGCAGGAATCTGACACCAGCAGGGAAGAAAAAGCTGAAAACAACAAAAAACAGACACAAAGAGAAAACAAACGGTTCGTGCATTTTACATCAGAACAACACAACGTCTCACCAGACGCCAACGACCTCTGTGTGAGATGCAGGGAGGAGCATGATGACAAACGCTCAAAAATGAAGTGATTAGACTGAGCCACAACTACTTTGCGTATTTCTAGGTGTATTTCAACACTCTTCTGTGTGGAAGTCGTTACCATCATATTGGATATATGGAATATTTTTATAGCTGAAGGTAACATGAATGGCAATATGCGTCTGTACACAACATGATACTGCCCCTTTAAAAGACATTTGATTTCATGATTTAATGGTTTGAAATCGGGTCTCTGTCTCTTTAAGAAGCTCCTGCTCTTTCTGAAACTCCGCCTTCAGGAAGTCGTCACAACATGGCTCTATTAAACCTTCATCAAAATTTTTCTCAGCGTTTCACTGAGAAGTAGCTCCTATAATAAGCTCAACAGATGGTCAGTTCCACCAGCTGTTTGCTAATTGCTGCTGGCTAGTCTGAAGGAGCTGAGTGGGGGAGTCACAGCTTGGAAGCTTGGAAACTGAAGTTCTCAGGAGGAGCTTGGTTCCCCCAGGCGTTTTACACAGCTGAATGTTTGCCATGGGAGACTAAAGGATTTCTCAAACATGCATGAAAAAAAACAAACACTCCAGGTATGTTTTTTTGGGCCCAAAAAAATTAACAAAGATGAAAGCATAAAAAAAAAAAAAAGACAATATTACATAATAAAGAGGATGGAGCAAGTTGCATCTTGGTGTGTTTGTTTCTGACCTCTAGACACAAACACACCGGACAGCATCCAGAGAAAACCCAACGACTCTTTGACTGCAGTGAGGAACGTTTACAAGCCAGACATGGATAAAGCAAGCAGGGGGCGGTGGGATGAAGGGTGGGGGGGCGTGCAGGGTGAGCATCTCCCACTCACCTTGTGCGGGGTTGCCATAAGAAGCAGGGCCGGTGCCTGAGGGGGCCATGGAGGCGGGGAGCTGAGGAGGGGGAGGGGGCACAGGCGGGATCTCTACAGAGGGGTTAGGGGCCTGTTGTGGGCCGTCTAGGACAGAAGGAGGTGGCCCGGGGGTGGTGGCAGTGTTAGGGGGAGATTTGGCCGTGTTAGGTGGGAGAGGGGCTGAACCTGATGGGTAAAAGTGAGGGGGTTAAAGGTCAAAAAGGAAGGAAACAAACAAACAAAATAAAAGACAGGTGAAGGAGGGGAAGAACAGCAGATCCCAAGTACAACTCGACGCTCGGATTAGTTTAGTTAGTTTCCGGCTGTGGAGGATAAAGGAAACCTAGGGTTACCTGGGAATACTGTGGGCGGGGCAGGCGTCGGCACGGCGATGGGCACGCCCACGCTGCCACTGCCGCTGTTCTCTCGGCTGCTGCTGCGACTGCTGCTGGGGTGGCTTCCTCCGCTGCTCCCACTGCTGCTGACGGGGCGGCAAGGCGCGTCAGAACACACACACACACACAATGCGATGCACACTCCGGCTTGTTTTCTTCTTCACGCAAACATATTTGTGATTAATTAAATCATCGTTTAATCAGCTAATTGTGTAATTATTCAACTCGTATTTAGCCATTTCAACAAAACAATAAGAGGCAAAAAGTTTTTCCACATTCTCTTAAAGTGGCACCCTCAAGAAGCATCGATGTGTCAGTGAGCCTCTGAAATGACTGACAAGTTAAATTAATAAATAAAGCAGCTGGATGCCTGAATAAGGACAGACAACACAGGAGACGCTGTAGCAACAGAACACACACACACACCCACACACACAAACATGAGAGTGTGTGAAAGTAGGAAGACGGTGAAGAGCTGCGTTTCCATTACAAATGTACGCAAAACTCTTGATAACATTAACGCAAATATAAAAAAAAACACAATTTTGTCGTTGTGGTATTTCTAACACAGTCAAAAATCACATGTGAATAAGATAGTTCATACAGTAAGTCATTAAAAACCATCATTCTTTATTTCCTGTTGTATTCTGCATGTTCTGCGCCAGTGGCAACACCCAGCTGTTGATCATGCGACTTGCAGTGTTGCGACATAAACCCGCCTCACCTTATTGCCAAAACATTTCACCAAAAAGTGAGAATTTTTTTTTTCAAATTGGCGTGTTTCCATTAAGCAAATTTATTTTAGAAATGTCAAATTGCGCAATTATTTGCCCAGTAGCTGCGTCTCCGTCAGCCAACAGATTACAGAAATAAGGTTGCTTAATAAAAACACGAAGATTAAAATAAAGGAAAAAAACAAAACAAACTTGTTTTTCTGTAAAAAAGTTTTTGGTGGTTTTTGGACGTATGGAAACAGATGTCGGTTACAAAACTGCAACATAAACACTTTTTTTCACATCACGTGACTCGTGATCAGCAGCTGGATGTTTCTACTGGTGGAAACGACAGACGACAACAGGAAGTGGAAGGAAGATGGTTTGTTTTTGTTTCGTTGCCGTGGTTTTTAATGACTTATCGCGTGATATTCATTTAGTTACTTATTTAATGGACACACCTCAATTGCAAAATTGTGTCGTTTTTTTTTTACATTTGCGCACATTTACAACAGAAAAGCAGCTGCTGAGAGATGAAGAGATGTAGATGGAGAGAAATTCAGAGGAAAGTCGGGGGAAGATTTTCTCGTCTTTACAGACTGGAATAGTTTGTGAGCAACAGATGGGGGCACAGATTCAAACTGGGTTTGTGTTTCTCCCCAGAGCGGACAGAAGTTTCACAGAGAGTGACTGGAAGGACAAAAGCTCATCAAAAAGATTTCTGCGGAGAGTCGCTTCAGAGAAGAAGAAGAAAGGTTTTCAGAAGCTGGCAGCGGGGGTGGAGGGGTAGAAAGGGGGCTTGTTTAAAGTTTAAAGAGTACAGAGGCATGCTGGGAAGCAGAAGGAGGGGCGAGGGGGAGTGAGGGGGTACCTGTACGTGCGGTTCCTCTGATTAACGGATGCAGTGCGTGCGGGGCTCTGCTGGGGGGGCGCCGTGTTGCGCGTCGGGCTCGAGACGTAGTCGTTAGGGACAACGGGAGGACGCACCGGCTCGAGCGTCCGGAAGGGGGAGTGGCGCCTGTGAGGGGTTAGGAGGAATCCAGGAGTGGGTGAAGGAGGGTGGGGGGATGCATTCAAGGGTGAGTGTTGGGTTGGGGGGGGGAGGAGGGGGAGGAAGAAACAAAGTGCAAACTTAAAAAAAATGACATGACAGATGGTAAACAGGTGAGGTGACTGCTGTTGGTGGAGAAACACGGAGCAGTTTTTCCTTCTTGGTCGTGATCAGATTGAGACGGTTTTGATAAACTAAATATTCTCTGGTGAGTGTTGGAAACAACATGGAGCAACTTAAACATCTGGAAGAGTTGGCTTCCTGGTCTGAATGAAGCGTTGAAACGGGGGAGTTAATGGTAGTTTGGGTCAGTATATTATTATTGTTAATCTTATTGTTTTTAACACAAAGAACTTTTTGTGTGAACCTTTAGATCCGTTTCTGCTGTTACACCTGACTTTCCGCTTTGCGGGACAATATTCTATTTATTTTCTTGCATTTCCTGCCTTAATTATCGTGTTTTCCAGTTTTTCTTTAAGTGAAATTCACCTTTATGAAGGCATAAAGGAAGCTAAAATGAAACCTGTTTTTATGTTACATACTTTGTCAGAGGAGACAATAATTATTGGTGATTTTTATTTTCTATTTTACGCATCTTTCAAATAGACAATGAGAGGGTCAATGATTTGGAGCGGCCATCAAAACGTAGGCATGGGCATTTGTACTGTTTATCATATATTTGAGATAATTTTCTTATGATAAGAATCTTGATTTACTGTCACAATAAATTACAATTAATAATGTTTAAAATCCCCTAAAACTGTCTGTGCTGTTAGTTTTACTGTTACCTCCCCTGTATATTCAATGAAACTATCAATTAATTTGAAAATATGATTAAATGCAGTCACTGTGATACAAATCACACCTCTTTATGTAATGTAATACGCGTAAAAAAGCACAATATAAATGGCTGTTTCTCAAAAGCAGAATTTGTGGTTGTGGTGCTACGACCTAAAAAAGTAGCAATAAATAGTTCCTATTGTTGCTTTTACCGTTATCACAACATTGTCCCAAAATATCGTGATACAACTTTAAGGTCATATCGTCCACTCATATCAAAAAGCCTTGGAGGAAATCTCTGAGCAGATCTGGAAAGGTGTGTGTGAGCAGGGCGGCCTACAAACCCGACCCAGTTCCACCGGTTCTGTCAGAGCAAACGCTCCAAAACTCAACTAAACTATTGGGTCAAATATTTGGGCGTCCTTCAATAAGCTGCTCCCAAGTCGTATCCGACTCGACTTCTGATCTAAGAGTGTACAAGTTGTAGTTTATTTTCTCTTAAATAACTTTAACAATTATTAAAGCTAATTCTTAAGTGCACTCTTCCTTCTAATCAGAAATATTTCAAAATGCTGGAACAGTGAATGAGTTACTCTCTCACCACATTTTTTTATTTATTTTTATTATTTAAAAGATGCAACCAAATTATATCTTTTTGCTTCGCTTGTGAGCAAAAACAGTTTCATCTTTAGTCCAACAGCAGCTCTGATGAGTTTTAAACATGAGGAAACAAAGATTCAGTGATCAGAGCCTCTCTCTGCGTTTGGATGGCAAGAACATTTTTTATGAGGAATGCGTAGCAGCTTGGAGAAGTCACACAAACGAAAAGGCGGAAAATAAATTTTAAAAAAAAATCCGAGGAGATTTTTCACAAGCTTTAATGCATCATGGATGATTGATATGCATCTTGAAGGGACAAACACACACCTCTATGGGTCGATATGAAGGTGTGGACACACCGGACCTCTCAACAAACAACTGCAGGGTACAAATACAAGCTTCTTTTTCACACGCAGAGACAAAACAAACACAAAGTTACGAGCAGCGCAGGTCGAACCCCTGAGGGATAAACACGCCTTGGATGAGTTAGGACACAGAACAGAGCATGTGCAACCTTCAGCCGCTGTGAGAAACTCAAAACAAGTTTAACTTCTCATGGCTTCCCCCCCCAAGAAAGAAGGAATTTTCATTCAAAAATATCAACCGTTTCACAAAAATATTCTCCAAGAGAAGAAATGTTTGATTAGGCTCATAACATAAGAACTGATCTCTTCCTACACTTGTTTAATAACTTAATATGAAGCCAAAATGCAAAAAAGCAAAGAGAAAAATCTTTTCCATTTGTTCATGACCCAACACAGCTTCCGTACTTCCAGATATCTTGGCTTCAAAATCTGCAAAAATCATTTACCAATAAATTAAGAGCAGGTTCAAATGTTATGAACCGTTCTAACCACCCAGCATTTCTACTGTTTTTGTCTCAAGTTACACCAAAAGAAAAAAAGAAAAAAAAATCCATCAAGTCCTGAAATGTTGATGAAAAGCCAGCAGCAGGTTTTTTGTCAAAAGACAAAGATCCCAAGTAAGAACCTATCCAACATCACAAAGGAATATTTGACTTTTCTGATATAAAACTGATCACAGAGAGAAGCTACTACTCTACTGTTAGACTAATTTCTTTGCACAAAAAGAGAGATAAAATGTCTGAATATACATTTCCATATCATACAGATGCAGTTTGAGTATTTGGTTCAAAACCATCCTAAAGTCAACAGTGAAATTTTAGTTCAGCAAGTCTCCACAAGGTAACATGCAGCTTTTATTAATGCATGAACTGACATTGATGTTTTATTAATGATGACCTGAGAAAGGCCAATAATGTCAGCTGAGCTTATGTATTGTTAATCCCGGCTCACACACGGTCCAACCTGCTCTGAAAGTAAAACACAGATCAACTGGGGGTCTGCACGCCCCAAAGAAGTGATTAAAAAACCAAAACAAACCCCCTGTAGCTTACATACCCAAGGGTCCCTTTCCCTGACATAGGCGGGCTGGGAGGCTTCTGTGTGGGGGGGTTGGTGCGAGGCAGGGCGCCTCCTCCGGTTTTCATGTTTTGAGCGCTGGCCTGTGAGGGAGGACAGAGGTGAGAACACCTGTTGGTTAGCTATAGCATCTAAAAACATAAAACAGCAATGACATTAACTACAAGAAGCAACAACTGATTTTCATAACAGCACAAGTGGCATGCTTCTCTGGTTTTCTACTGAGAACAGATCAGAAAATCAGCAGCTAAATAGCCGAAGAAGAGGAGACAACGAGATGATCGACGATGGAGGACTTTCGGTTGGAATCAAAGAAGTTTTTGCAGCCTGTCCTAAAGAGCTATGTTCATGTTCCCAGCCCACACTAGTTCCCAGAGTGGGATCCTGTTTGTAGTGTCCATGGACAGCATCTCATGCTGTGGTCAAGGAGAGGAAGACTTTCTGGATGGGGAATCTCAAGATCTCCTCTTATGTTTCAGATTCAAAGGGTCTGTTGACACCTTCAGGCCATGATGTTGACTGAACACTGAAGGGTTTGACGATTGAGGTTGAAGTTGCTGAAATTAATCCATCGTGGTTCTCAACCAGAAGATTTCTTTCTTTTTCTATCCTGGTTTCCTGTTACCCCAGCAACCAATAGTAGCTGGACGTTTTTGTTATAGTATTAAAAAAAACTCTTTAACTACGGATTTTTAAAGATCCGTAGTTACGGTTTTAAACTCTTTCAAGTTAGACTTGAAAGAGTTTAACACATCAAACGACAGATGCACTGAAATTTTAGCAGATTTGTCACAGATTGAATTCATGTCGTTTTGTGACAAATTAACAGTTTCCACTTTCTAATGTCATCTTATCTGATTATGAATAGGAATGAATAGATACTCAACAGTAAACAGATTAAAAACAGAAAAAAAAGAGAAACAGAAACAAAAGCCACTCCATTGCAGTTCAACCCAATCCACCGACACCCTGAAAGCAAAACAATCCCAACCTCATTTCAGGCTTTTACTTTGAAATTCTTACCTTAAACCTTTGCAACCACTAGAGTTGACAACAAAGAGGCATTTTGGCAAGCATTAAGAGAGAAACAGAGAGAGAGAGACAGGAAGAAATCAGGGGTTAGCTGGAGAAAGAACAGTAAAGCTGGTTTTCTGAAAAGCTGCTAACAATAGTTTATTGTTCAGATCTGAGGAATTTGATCTTCGGTGCTTTTGTTTCCCCACTTCTGGGAAACAAAGACACAACCAGAACAAACCACTTTTAATATGTTATTATTTGAGAAAATAGCAGGACAGAAATCTGCAGCCAGCAGCAGGTGACAGACTTTCCTGGCGAAAAAGACAGACTTATTGATTTTTCCTTCCATTACTTCACTCTGAAATGCAGTGAAACCAGAGAGCTCTCTCATGTTTGACCTTTTTATGTCCTCTACATTAGATTTATTCTTTTTTTTTTTTGTTTTGCATCAACAAAAACACAATCTTATTCTGACAAGTCACATGTTTTCACACAGAAACAACTTCTATGTCTTCGTTCAAGGAAAGTAAACATTGTTAGAAAAATCAAAGTTCATCAGGATTCCCAAACATTTTCAGTGCAAAATTCCACTTAATGTTATTTAGCCCCCTTTTTTTTTGATAGTGTTTGGGGTTTAGGATCAGAATCACTTGAGCCTGAGATGGACAAAATAGTGTGAATGTGTTTGTGTCACTGGGATTCCAGTCAGTAATTGAAAAAGTCAAAAGTAGATTTTGACAGAATTATGTTATATGAATTGTTTATCTCGTTATTATGATATGAAAGTTGAAACATCGGGAAATGTCTTGCTATAAGTGAAATAATTGACAATGGACCTGGAACCATTTCATAAATATTAAGAAATTATCATCTTAAAATAAGATCCTATGTCTTACTGAAAAGTTACTTCTGAGTTAGTTTTGCTTTATTCCAATTTACCAAAAATACTTGCACTAGAAAAACAGACCAAAAATACTTAGTAAGTTTTGTATTTTTTGCACTGTATCCTATTCATACGTCACATTTTTCAAGACTAATAAAGTAAAAGCATAAACAAAAAACTTAAAGTCACCCCAAAACATATTTGATTGAACAATTCGAGTTCCTTTTAGTTAGGAATACTTTTTCAAGCATTCTGAACATTACAGAAGTAAAAAACAAAGGAGCACCTTGACTCCGTGGCCCATGTCGTCCAGCAAGCTGTAGTCGATGGGTTTGCGGATGTAGCGGACGGGCCTCTCGGGGTTGGCCGGGGCGATGATCTTGTGTGTGCGGGAGGTGTTCTTGTTGGTGGTGAGGATGCCGATCTCTCGCCGTGCTACTTTCTCTTTGTGGATGTCCACCGTCTGAGGGACGTGAGGCAGTAATTAAACCACTGAACCCGAACTCTAACTGTGAACGGCGGCGTGTTTTGTGCCCCGGATCCGCCGGTACCTGCGAGATGTGATTGATGGAGGACTCCATGCGGCGCAGCTGCGACGCCTGGATGTCAAGCATTTGCAGCACATTGTTGGCCAGCGTGTTGATCAGGTAGGCCACGCTGGCCAGGGACTGGGTAGTGTAGTTCTTGGTCTCCTCCAGCGCCCTCTGCTTGTCTGGAGACTGAAAAAACAGGCATTTAGACGTGATGGCGAGCTTTAACAACTGTGTTAAATTTCCATACAAATCGGTACAATAACAACGAATCAGATGAGTTTATGTTTACGGTACGACTGTCTAAGTGTTACGTTTTGAGCAAGAGCTGAAGAAATGTTTGATTTTATATAAAATGTGGAAACTTCAGGTGGCCTGTATAAACATTTCTGGACGAACTTCAACAGAAACGTGTGAAATGACGACTTGTCGAAATGCAAGGTTTAAATGTCAACAGGGGGTTCAAAGTTACACCTCTTAGTCTTATTTCTAAACTGACTTAAAAAATCTGATGCTAAGAAAATTACTTGATAGTATTTCTGATATAATTTTTTTATGAAGGTACGGGGTTCTTTCTTAAAACATAAATAATAAAAAAAACTTGGTAATATTACCATGTTATACTCTATAGTTAGCTGTTAAATAAAAAGAAACTAAAAAATACATCATTTCTGCACTTTAGACAAACTGTAGCATTTGTTTTTTTATTTCATTTAAGGTTTAAGTAGCAGTTAAAATTATAGCGCACTGATTGCAGTTTTCTGGCCAATCACCAATCTTTAAAAAGCCTTGGCTGCTTATTCTGATACAGATTTTTCTGGTCTGAATACTTACTAAATATCACTATTATAATATCGACTGGCATACATACTTCCAAAATGAAGAGAATTTGGACTGAATTATTGGTGCTCCACTTCATTATCGTCACTTTCACTTTTAAATACAGGAAATCATACAGATTTTTTTATTTTAATTTTTGTCTTACTGCCATCATCATCACAATGACATCTTTTTGTAGAAATAAATTAGGCTTTAGTTACTTAGACGGTCTTCAGTCATGAACACGTGTGACAACGTGTGGATAAAAACGAATCACCTGAGAAATAAATGGTATGTGAGCAGAAACGAGCTGAGAGTGTAGAAATAAAAACAGAGGTCAAGTAAACCCAAGTCAAGTCGCATAAAGCACCTAAAACAGACGGATTTGGTCTGAAAGGAGTTGCTGGAGGCAGGCTGATGAGAACATGGACACGGCACCTATCAGAGCAGATTCAAACACATTCAATCAAAAGAAATAAAGCCGTCTTTCACTTCTAATTCAAACAACAAATGCAAAAAAAATCTACCAGTATAACGAAGACTTTTCCCTTCCAGGACAGAGCTCTGAAAAAGGGGCCACCTCAGGAGCTAATCTTAGCTTCCATGTTTTAATTACTTTGGGAAACATTTTTCTGCTAAACTGGGAGCATAAAATCAGTTGGTCTCAGTCACATCTGTTCACATAAATCCACTGGATGCCACTAGACAGCTGCTGCAAGAACCAAATGTTACTTCTAGTAAGACACACACTCCTTATAATGAGACACATTTACCAGGAATCACATCATAAAGCAGCACTGGAAGAGCAAACAAGAGCATGTTGGAGTATGAAGACTAACTGGTTAGAAAGGAGTTTTATTTTTATCAAAGAAAAACATGCTTCTTTATAATAATAGAAAATTGAATCAATCGTTTAATTAAAAAAAAAAAAAAGGTTAGCACCCATGTTCATACCAATAACAGGGTTTCCACCAAAAAACTTGCCAACTCAAAATATAGAATTAGTTAATATCAAAATTTTTAAAAAGTTGAGGAAAATCTACAGATTTTGGTTTGTTAAACTAATTGGAACCGTTTGCCACGGTGGGAAGAGACTGTGCGAGTCTGGCATGAAACAAGGCATAAATATAACAACCAATAAATAAAACAGAAATAAAACCCCACACAACTGAAATCATAAATAAAACAGAAATCATCGAGCTCATTTCATTGTGACAGGCTTAGGTCAAAACGTCGTAAAGGAAGTCTTCTCCACCGTCAAAGCTGACAGAAAAAAAAAGTCAATGCCCCTACTAACAATAATAATAATAATAATAATAATAATAATAATAATAATGTGGTAATAAAGAAAAATGGGTTTGGATCATTTAAATGACATCTTATGCAAGTAGGTCAAAAAGAACTGCAGTCTGCAGACAATTTCTAAGGGTTAATGTTATGAGATATACGTCCACAATAAGTACAAATAGTGAAAACAGTATTTTTGACGTTAATCTAAAAATGTGTGAATGTGTTCAGAATCTGGATGTCATTTCTGCATCCTCTCTTGACTTGAGCTCACAAGTTCCATGACTACATTCCCTGGTGATGATGATGTTAATAGAAACCTGGCCCCCATCCAGAGGAAGCTGTGACACATCCTAATAGTATTCTACTGACTAACACTCCTGTCACAACAATGTGAGAGCGATATGGGCTGCCCGACGGGCAGTGTGGACAAACAGCTGGATACCACGCCCCTTGTCTCCAGGACGACCGGTCAGACCTGATCAGGTCAGGATTTCACTATCACACCTTGTTAAATTTTTCTGCCCGGCTCAAGCAGATATAAATGCTGGAAAGTTGTGGTTAAATCAGCAATATTAGACTTGAATTCCTGCGTCTTTAATTTAAAGTAAGCTTAGACGTGTAGCAGTCCTCGGAATGATGCAATTGGGAGGCCAAACAATGATAAACAACCAAAAAAGATAATAATCGGCCTCTGTGTCAGCTGTCGGTCTCTTCCCCCTCAATCGGTTCACTTCCATAACTGTGATGGATATCTGCTGCAATATTTGAGTACACTAATAAAGCAACAGCCATATGAGCATTGAGATATAGAGGGCAGGGGGTAATTAGGAGCCTTTTAAAGACTAATCTGAATACATTTTAAGGTTGTGCATTGCATTAAATCAGCGGTGTAGTCGTGTGATCACAGCGGTTTATCTGCTGCCAAACACAGCTCAGCAGAGATTAGTCAGACTAGATATCCTTCATCAATAGCTGCCTAATCTGCCTGATCGCGACGATTGATTTCACGGCCCATTTATCGCTCTTATTGTTTTATTACAACCTTTATTGATGAGGGAAAGTGGCTAGCTAGCGACCTGCGGAGCTACAGCACACACACACACCATAACGTTGTTGAAAATGTAAAGCTAATAGTTATGCATGTTAATAAGGTCAATAACACTTAAATAAACCTGCCACTTGTTGATTTAGTTTCAAACCAGACGCTCTGAGAGTGCCTCATTTTCGCTATAGCAAAGGAAAGCAATAAAACAGCGCTAGCAACAGTTAGCCTAGCATCAGCTCGCCCAGTCAGGGATGCCCGTCTTAAACCTGAACCAAAAATTGCATTACAATAACATACCTGGACATAGTTGCTTTCGCAGTATTCTGCTACTCTTTCCAAGTTGGTGAAACTGTCTAGGAGAGCGCCTCGTCCTGCTGGAATCTCCTCTTCCAGAAGCATTTGTAGCTCCGCCATTTTCACATCTTTTAGCAGAGCGGGATGCAGGGCTCGGCAGCGCCGCCAGCGGCCGCGTGTGGTACTGGAAGGGCTGTCCCAGGAGCAGGGCTTCCCACGATGATGTATGTTTAAAATACAAGTTTCCACTGACACACGGAGATGGACTATGCAAAATTAATCGTTTTCAATTCTATTTCTTTCTTATAAAATTCCATTGATGTTTAAAAATTGGATAATACGTTTGAGTTGCAACGGAGTTCCCCAACTTGTAAAAATGTGCAGTTCACTTCATATTAGTTTATGCTTGTAATAATCAAGCAGCAAGTAGGCGGAGTCATGTAAATTTACAAATCCATTAATAGACGAATATTTTGTAAAATTAAATAAAAGACAACAGCAAAAACAATATTTCCTGTTCAAGTTTATTAAACGAGAGACCTTAAAAAGTGAAATGAAATATCCAAATGCTGTTTGGCCTAAAGCAGCGATGAAAATTAAGATTACCAATATTATAAATATCTGCCAAAAATAAATCATGTTTAAAAAAATTTTTCAGGTAGTTTCTACTGATTTAAAAAAATATTTTGTATTCATTTTGGCAAAATTAAATAGTTACAAATTAGGACAACGGTGGAAAGTCATATTTCTTCGACTAAAAAAAGATGTAAAATGATTACAGTAAAAAATAAAAAAAAACAGAAAGAAAGAAAAAAAAAGTGGCTCATTTTGTGGATCCAGAAACAGGAAGAGCTGAAAAAGTAAAGTTATTTTTCTTCTCCACAGATGCTTTACATAATCGTTAATAAAGATATAATTTCTTGCTCATGAACAGATCGACCAAATTTTGGAAAGCCACTAGATGGCAGTGTTTGTTACAGTATGCTACTTTAAAAATAAAACTCTTGCCTTTACAGCTTGCCCATTTATGAAGTAGAAATTTATTTGGCTGCAGGTTAGAAATGCCCTGAAAGTCTCTGGTCTTTACCACCGACTCAATTAAGAGCTTCATTTTAAACCCCATCTGTAATACTTTGCTGGTAAATTCTCACTCAAATTGATTGTGTTCTAAGAGCATGATGCTTTAGTTGTTGGGCACTGTAGACTATTTTCAGCTTTTTCTATTGCTGACGGTGATCCAGGTTTCGTCCTTGGGTGTGGACACCAGCTCAGATTTGACTTCTGCCACTTGATCTTCCAGCTGGTGAAGCTTCAGCTGTCGCACCAACGTGCTGAGCAGGACTGTAGCTACAGTGTAAGCAAACCTAACAAAAAATAAATTTAACCAATTATTAAACCACAATCTTCTGACAAAAGCTTAGTCATAAAAATGTGAAACTACCTGAGTTCTGGGCACGTTTGATTCCCTGAGAAGCCAAGTAGGCAGAAACTCTTCCTTGCAGATTCTTCCTCAAATCGATCTGGATCAAACCTGATAAATATAAGAATAATGTTTGAATTGCGCAATATTATCTCCAGTAGTGAGGCTAATTTGTCGATACTACCAATGGAATAAACCAAGTACACTTTGAGCAAACAGCTTATAGAACCACCTCTGAAAAAGAATTTGCCAGAGTAAGACTCCTTGAGGCACACCTGGCAATGAACATTTGTTCATCAAATAGTCAGAAAAAATAAAGTATACCCCATGAACTCTCAGTAGTTGTCTCTTCTTTGCCATATTGCCTCTGTTTGTTGCGGATTAAACACCTTCCTTTTTCTGCAACGCCGCATTTCACGTTTAAATCACCTTGAATCTTCTTCAACCACTACCGTAGATTTGCTGCCATGTTTGAGATAAACCTTCCAGTTGATGACCCAGTTAGGAACAAACTTCTAAATGGAACCTTTCCTAAAACATTTCCACTTAGGACTCTTCTCTGCTATAATATGATAAGACTTCAAATTTGGAAATTATCCTTGAATTTCTAACAGATTGACAAGCATCAAGAGTTGTTTCTCTAAGATCATTACTGATGTCTTTCTGCCTTGTGTTGGCACACACACGTGGTATTCCAGGCCAAACATAACAGTGTTTCTGTTGGAAACATACCACTTTTTTGGGGGTGATCACAAAGTTTCATATCACACGATCAACAACCGGATGTTAGTGTTGGCAGAAAAGACAAAGACGACGTTTTTTAAACGACTTATCGCATGAGCAAACTTATTCACATGTGATTTTAACTGCGTTTCTTATTTACTGGAAACGTAGTTGCGGCGACACTCGCTGAATACGAAACGTTTTTTTCACATTTGTAATGGAAACGCAGCTAGTAAAGACTCATGGTGGTCACTTAGATGCAGCAAAGTTGTACTTCGTTTTTCCATATTAAGAATCAGAGATTAGTTAGTTCTTCCAATAACTAAAGATGAACCTGTAGGGGGCGCTCCATGTGTCTGGATCCTGAAGGACTACTCCCAGGGCGTAGATTACCAAAGTCTGAAAGTGTATAAATGAAACGTTACTGTTACTTCCTCCTATTGTGGCCACAAGCTGGACACCTGAGCAGAGTTGATACCTCTTTAGGGATCACATGTTGATCGACTTTGCCCTCCACTGCCTGAAGTCGAGCAGCTACGGGGGTCAGCTTGGCGGTCCTTACTGTCTCATTGAGAACCTGCTGGCAGTATCTTCCCAAAGAGAGACAAGATTAAACTCAGCAGCTGCTTCTCTTAAGCAGCCTACATACGAAGGATGATACTAAAAGTGGATCGGACCGGGTCTCACCTGAGCTGAGGAATCTTGTCTAGGGAAACAGGATCAGAACCCAGAACATCTTGTAACTCCTGGTAGAGTTTGTCTTGGACTTCTTTGGAAGTGGACAGGAAGTGAAGCGCCCAGATGCACACTGCCGAAACAGCATTTTTCATTTTGGATACTTTTTTATGAGGCAAAGCAGTCATTTCTGCTAAGAGTTTACTTTCAGGGTAACTCCTCGCTTACAGTTAGCAGTGATGATGCATCCAGCCAGAGTGAAGACCATACAGTCCTCCATGACCTAAAACACAGAAATACAAAAAAAAAGTATAATTTCATAAGGTTCTCCATCAGTTTAAGTTTTTTCTAAAGTTATCAAAGACTCCACCTGTCGTTCTGTGAGACTGGACTGAAGAAGAGCATCCACAAACGCCGTCTGTTTCCTCTGTGCCTTCCTCTCCTTCACCACTGACAGCAGCATGGATTCCATCTCTGATAAAGCTGATCAAAGGTTTTTAAAAAAATCATTTATGGTTAAAACAAAAAGAAAAAGATCCAAAACAACAACAATAAAATGTAAAATCCTGCGAACTAAGAAAAAAATTAACAGATCCAATCTTGTGTCTAAATCCTCCTCCTGGTTTTGAAGATGAGTAAAGAATATACATAGTTGTAGTTCCCAACTCTGTCACTAGATGTATCCAAACCTCATTTACACGGATGGACAATAAAGTGAATGAGATTCTCCATGATGAATTTCGATTCAACCCATCAAAAATTACCAGAAGATGATTAAATTTTGATACATTTTCACATTTTTCTTAAACATAAACTCTCGTTTTAGGAGAATATGGCTCCTAAAATGCAACCACTATAAACACCATGTTGCTGTTTGCTCAGTTCTTTTGTGAATTTTATCAACAATGCAAGACTGCCAAATGTCACAGCACTCAAACAGTGTGTTTTAATTAATTTTTCTGTTCAAGTTAACAGGAATGTGGGTGAAGAACCAAAGTAATAAGGGGATAAATAAACCAATCAGGAAGCTCCAAACTTATCGAGAATTCAAAGATGTTGGCTTCCTGATTTTTGTACAAGGAGTCAATCAAAAGTTTTGTCAAAACAGCATCACAGATTGAAAGTAGATTCCAACAAAGTTCAATGATTGAACTCACCCTTCTCATAATGAGCTTTTCTACTGGAGCTCTTCTCCATGGAGCCGTCCATGTAGCCCTTCCCAATTTCAGACCAGATCTGGCAGAATCAGAACAAACACTTAAGTAATTTTGATGCCAGCTTAAAAAAAGAAAAAACAAATCCAACAGATTCTCACCGCGTCGTGGTTCTTGCGGAAGGAGATGATTTCGGCGTCATCTTTGAAGCGCTCGCCCAGACCCAACTGGGTGACGGTCTTCAGGGCCAAACCCAGCAGGTGGGCACACAGCGGGATGTGCTGAGCCTCCGGGAACGACTTCCACTTTCCCACAAGTTCCTCCACCACCTAGACAAAACTTCCTGATCAGTGGGTCTCTTTTGACTTGAGGCGAGCCTCGTTTAAAGTGATCCAGACGAACCTTGAGCATGACTGGGAAGTTGTTCTTCAGGCTGTTATTGATGGCCCCCTCATATAATTTCTTCCTAACCACTGACTCACTGGGCCCACCTCCCATCCCCGGGGGGTATCCGAGCAATGACTTCAACATGGTCTCAAAGGAGTCGGCTGTAAATCAGAAAAATGTGAAGAGTTTAGGTATTCACATGGACAAAAGATTCTCAGTTTGAGTGTGACGTCCTTACTGGTGTGATTGGGGTTGATATGCTGCTTGAGCTGGTTCACAGAGCCCAGGCTGACCACCGGCCGCCCGCCGAACCAGAACGACGCCACTGATCCAAATTCCTGATGCAGGTTAACAAGGAACTCATGCAGACTGCCTTGGTTGATGATATCCTGCAAGTTTCCATCCCTAAAGATTGGAAAGAAGAAGCAAAACAACAAAGATAGAACATTTTTCTGTTTATGCAGCTCCCTTCAGAATTGTCAACTTGATAAATAAGTAAACATACATTTAAATGCACCCTTTCATACAGTTAAGTAGTTGTCCATGTCTCATTGTGTCATATGATTATGTAGCAAATTAGCAAAATGGAAAAGACAAAAATACACTTTTCAACTTGTTTAAGTAGAACACTAATTACTAATATGTACAAAACTAAATATAACTTACTTCTCATCTGTGGGGTACAGACCAGGGACACCAGAGGCCCTTCTGGAAGACTAAAAACATGTTTATAAGAATCAAGTGAACACATCATGGCGATTTCCATTTGAATGTTGTCCATTTTAAGCCTATTAATTCCCGTTTAAGGGAGTCCAAGCTTTTTAAGACAAACAATTTATCATACGAACAGATATTTGTGCTTTCTAAAAAATCGGCTAATAAATTATACACTTTCAAGTTTGAAAATGTTCATATCTACGCGTGTTTCACCTTTTTTGCGCAAACCATAACTCATAAAACTGTGGCTTTATGCACTAAATTTGTAGCGAGTTGAATAAAATGAATGCCGATTATGAGATAACATTACACGATATCTGGATTTGTAAAACTGTTACACATTAGCCATCGCAATTTGCAAAAATCTGTAGATGTTTCAAAATCGAGTGTTTTGTGTTTGCAGCCTGCCCTAAGGATAGCAGCCTGCTAAATGCTAACTAACTTTGACCTATCTGGGGCTTACCGGGTACAAATAGAGAACAGCTCCGACCAAAATGATGACAAACGTGACAGCGAAAATGGCAAAGTCCAACATGACCGCGCTGTTACGTTCTATTCGTATATCTGTGGAAGTTTGCGTCCAAATGTTGTCAATTACCACGTCAACATTGCATATCTGTGTGCGACTACGCTGCCTAGCCACGGCAAGAAGACCAAAGTAATCGATGGATTTATGGAAGTTTACGTGTTTTTTTTTATCTTGACATTTGAACAATTTTTTTTCAATTTACTTTTTACTAATTATACTTTTATCTTAATAAAAATAATCGAAAACTCATAATTTTATTTGTACAAATTAAAATATTTCAATTTAAAAACGTGTTTTAATATCTTGATATCTTGGAGTGAAATGAGTATTTGATCCCAATACGATGGCGTATTAGGGCGACACAAATAAAATAAAATAACTAGAATGAAATCATAATATTACGAAAATAAAGTCGCAATATACTTGACCTAACCCCCTCAGTTTATATATATATATATATATATATATATATATATATATATATATATATATATATATATATATATAAATCTTTAAATATTGTAATTTTTGTCTGTTTTCACTATGATAGAGCTTTTTTTCTTATAGTGAGTAAATAAATAGTAATAATAATTTTAAAAAATGTTATTAGTTGTTTTTATTTCAATGATCCCAGAAAATGCATCTGGACATCTGTTCAGTGGATTTTCATTTAATAAATGTCATATTTTATCAGACATAAAGAAGAGTCATCGTTGGATTACTTTAAACTCTATATTTTAAGAGACAAGCACATTTGAAAATACAAAAAATAATAATCTCTAATACAATCAGAGATGTCAACAAAGCTGCAGCAGAAGAGATTAACAGTTGCTCCTATTTTTTTTTTTTCAGCTGGTAATTTCTGATTTGTCCTCTGGCCTTGCCGGCTCAACCTCCATCGCCCTCAGATAACCTAAAGAAAACAGAAAACACAACATAATCTGTGATTTCACAGTGGATTTCAATGGAATTCTAACAGTTTGCAAGCGTCATCTGTCTTTCTCACCCTCGGTGTAGTCCGTCTCCGGCCTGGTGGCAATAAAGATCCACGCCAAGCCCACCAGCAGAGCCACCACCAGGTTGATGGTCACCCACGGGTGGAGGATCTGGTGCTCCGACCCCTGAGGCCTGCAGCAGGAACAGATGAAACCAAGGAATGTAATCCTGGCTTTACGTTTTGCTTCGTAACGTCAGGATTATCTGCGTCATCCCACCATATCGTTGTGTTGGAGGACGCATAGAGGTTGATCCGATCACTGGTCATCTGCTGACTCAGAGAAAGAATCAAAGCAGAGAAATACACTGAGTGGGGAAAAAAAACACAGAGTGTGGGATTAAAGCAAACAGAAACAACAGGGATCAATAATCTCTGAACGGATGTGGATTTACAGAACGAAGCCAGAGCCACTGGATCCAGAGTGATGAACTGCCGCAGAGCCACCGGACCTTTAGCCAGGTTCACCCTGACAACAGAAAGGCAAAAACAAAAAATAAATCATTAATTCTGAGGAGTAGGTTCATATTTTGGTGTACATCAGATAGATTGTTCCTGATCTGATCAAAACATGTGGTTCATGCTTGTACGACGGCGAATCAGGACCATTGTAGACAGAAAACAGGAGGAGTGAATTTCTGCTGAAAAAATTCTGAAATTTTGAGATTAATCTCAGAAAATTTCTAGTAAAAACAAAGACATTTATGAGTCCCAAAAATCATAAGACTTCAGAAAACTAAGAAAGGTAAAAAAAAAAAAAAAAACATGTTTCATGAGATATGACCGTAAAGTGAAGTTGGTTTTTTCAAATAAAAAGATAAGAAAAAAAAGGAATTGAGAAGGTTTTGAAAAATTATTTCCAAATATTTTATTTTTATTCCTCTAAAAAAGGAACATTCCTGTATTTTTCTGTATAAATACAGTCAGCACAGCAAGAAACCTCATATCTTCGGAATAAATGCACTTTTATGATAAAGATATTTTCTTAAGTGACTCGTGGCTTTTTGTAAAGTGTAGGCTTTTATTTTGAAAGGGATTTCTCCTGGTTCAACCTGTCAAAGGAGGCCACGGTGCAGATGGCCAGCAGCATGTAGAGCAGGGCCTGTGAGGGGTAGGCCAGGCCGTGGTACTGCTCCAGCAAGTTGCGTAGAGCGGTGAGGTGTTGGCCGGCCAGCATGTAGACCACCACCACGTTCCACACGGCGTAGCCGGCCAGGAAGCCGTGACAGAACAGACCAAACACCCTAACAAAAAAATAACAAAAAAAAATGGAGGAGAAACATTGAGGAGAATACAGGAGAGGTGAAGGCCGAGTTCTCAGGTTTCCCCCCTCACCTGAAGCCTTCATGCACTCGGACAGAAACGTCTCTGGTGGTCCAGAGCGGCGGCATGTGCTGCAGCTCGGCCACGCCGTCCATCTGCTCGGCCGTCGTCCTCCAGTCAGAACGCTCGGCGGCCTGGAACCGCTCTGCGTATCAACATGACCGTAATAAAAAGAAAAAAAAATTAAATCTCAAAGCCATCAACCTTTCCACAGAGACATCTCTGATTTGACCTGTAAAGTGTTTTTTTGGTCGGAAGCTAAAGATTCTCGATTCGTTTAGAAAAAAAAACTATTGAATCTATTTCTTTCTCCATTTGCTGTCCTAGTGTACGACACAGGTTCAGGTCAGGCTGAGATTTTTTTTTTAATTAGGAAAATTAAAAATGTCACAAGGATAACGTCTTTTTTCTGTTTTTATTATGACTTTAATCTCGTATTATTTCACCTTAATGTGGCACAACTTTATTCTCGTAATAAAATGTCCGTAGTTTCATTTTTGTCCCTGAACCTGGTCCTAGTATTTGTGAACGCAGAGGAGAATAGAGGAACATTAGAAAAAAAGAATAACTTTTTTGTTATTTTTATACATAAATTCAGGCAGTAAAAAGTTAAAATAGGTGGAACACAGAAGCAGGCCTTCCTTTAGCATAAAAAAACAAGTTTATTGAATAAACTTCAATTTAATCTCTATTGTAGATTTAATGGAGTATCTAGTATAGTTTTAATCATATATATATATGATATATTTCTAAAACATAATCTATTACTTATAATGTCATTAACTACTAGTTTTATTTGACTCTTCATATAACCTGTGAAGTTAAGTTCATTGCTTTCCTTTAGATAACTGTCGGTGTAATGAACTCACTGGTTCTCTCTACAAACAGCTTCCCGACCGGCTGGCTCTGGCCCTGCGGCGCTGAGAACAGGGCCTGCTGGGGGATCGGCGAGCAGCTGTCGTTGATGATGTCGTCCTCTTCGACGCAAAACTCGTCGGGAAGCGGCGAGTCTGCCACCTTCGACTTCCTGAACATGAGAAACACCTTTTTTGTTGTTGTCTTCTTAACTATAATTTCGTTATGTTTCTTTGTTTTTTTTCTTACTTTTTCTTTTTGGTTTTCTTCACCACTTCTTCCCCGTCGGTGGTCTGATCTCCGGTGTCTCCGTTGACCAGGTCGGCTTGGTTGTCTTCCAGATCTGAGTCGAGACGGATAAGCTTAAAACCGCCAGCGTACTTTTGAAAAACATAAAAGAAAAGCGGAGTGGTTTCCACCTGTGGACGTGGCTTTCTTCTTCTTCCGTTTCCTCTGCGTTGGAGCATCTGTTGTGGCTTCGAGTGTCAGGTGATCTCCGACCTCAGACGCCCTCCGGCTGCCGAGCCCTCCCATCTCCATTTCCTGATCTGAGGAAACACAATTATTCAAACAAAGAACGCCGTTTCTTTTGGCTCCTCCTCATCTCCTTACCTTCCACGTCTCCTTCTCCATTTGCGTCTTTTCTTGGCTTCTTCTTTTTTCGTTTCGGGGCTGGAAAATCTGTCGACGTTTTTCATTTGAATTTAGAAACGGAAATAAATCGACATTGTGGATTCTGAAAAAAATTTGGACCCACCTGCTGTGTCTTGGCTTTTATGGAACAACAACAAAAAAAGAGAGTTTTATTATTATTCTCATTTTTAGCAAAGAAGTTGTTAAAGAGGAGAAGTTTTCCTACCTGGACATGGTGGGAAGGGCTCGCTGCCCTCGCTATGGAGACAAAAAAACAAGCATAAAAATAATTATCTCTAATTATTTAGTCATTTTCTACCAATGTAATATTACTCATAATCAAACAAAGCGGGCCTTAAAGAGAGTTCAGACTTTTAAGGACGTTTATCCACGTCTACAAGAAAAAAAAAAAAACAATATCTTCCACCACATTTATTGTCTACTTTTTTAAAAAATATCATTGTTTAAAAAGAAAAAAAAATCATGTGTTTTCATACACATGAACCTGCACAAAAGAATTGGAGGAGTTTTGCCAAATCCTCAAAATATTCCAGAAATAGTTTACCTTTTAAAGAGCTTCACACGTTTTTCGCAAACGTATCAGTTACTGTTTCTGTCAAATAGTACTTCTGAAACTAAAACCAGCAAACTGACCAGGACATTAGTTCTACTTGTACCAGAACGTTGTCCTTTTTCCCCCTCAAACAAAGTATTTAAAACACAATAACAGTTAAAACCCTGCTCCAAATAAGAAACTCTTACTGAACAGAGCAACTACATGATAAGTAGTTCGTTTAATCCCGGACGTTTACATAACATCTGATCCGATGTGGTTTTTATACTCGTATAGCAGAACTTCCTGGACGCAGCTAAGCCTGAAACAAACAGCTGAGATAACAAAAACCTTACCGTGGTTTTTCTGGCCATTTCGGTCAAGAATGCAACTCAGAGCAAAGCGAAGCCACACATGATATCCTGACAGATAAATCCTGAGCTAAATCTGCCAAGACGGAGGATTAGTTTGGGAGCAGAGGTCAAACGATTTAAACCTTTTACAAAAGACTTGGAGCATCATAAAAGTAGCTGTTTGTGAGGATGGAGAAGCGACCTTTGGTGGGATTTGGTTTGTTTTTATTGACGGCACTGCAGCGCTTTGTTGTTTGGGAAAACAGCAACTTTTAAAGAGTTTTTGCAGGATTTCTTCTTTTTTTGGCTTTGTTCTATATCAATAAATACACATTTTTAAAGCTGAGTTCTCACCTTTTTGCATTTTATTCTGGTTGTGAACATGCAAATTGTGATGTGATAAATAAATATCAAGCCCCAGACCTGCCACGATCCAATAAATAAGATGCTTCAACAACTTTTCGTTTATCTGGTATTCGTAAAAAAAATTAAATGATATCTGACAGAGATCTGCAATTATATGGATGTGTCAATAATTCATTAAATACAGAATTTAATATCAACATCATTAATTAATACTTGATATCAATAGAATTATTTCTATATTTAACCATTTAAGATTTCCTGCACTCAGGTTCTCAATAGTCCCCAGCATCTGATTGGATAACCTGCAGTCTTAGCTCCACCCACTGCCTTTTATGGGTACAATTAATTCAAATAAATTAATTGTACCCATAAAGATTTTATAGTCCTATGTTGCTTTACCTCAGGTAAAGCAACATAGGACTATAAAATATTTAAATTATTAATGATAATGCCAAAACAACTTCCACATTAAAGATGTATTTAAACTCGTTTTTTTTGTCTACATAGTTTAAAATAAAAATCGACTGAAATAAATAATTTATGAACTCTACCAGAACTCCAACATCCTCCCTTAATAGACACTGTCAGCACTTTTAAAAAGAAACGGATAAATTAAAAAGCAACTAAATTAAAATTGTCCTACGTTATTACTAGTTAAACTGTATTTCAAGGTCCAATTATAAAAATATTAACTTTAAAGTTTTATGGACTTTATTGAATCCTACGGAACCGTAGCTTTAGAGTTAGTCCCTTATGTTATCCCACTCCACGTCCCTGTATTTAAATCAGCTCAGACTTTCTATAGACGGTAATAATAATGAAACCCTAACAAATAAGTGAGTTCACTTACCTTAGGGAGAGGCGGCAGCTCCCTAAACCTTATATTCTGCAAAGTAACAAAAAATACAATAAGTTATAGATTTAAAAAAAAAAAAAAAAAAAAACAGCAAAGAAAATGGATGGAGTGTGTGCCTGGATACAAGGATACATGGGTGGCTCCTTGTGCTATGATACTGAATAAAATGCAAAACGATACATTTTGCCAAATATATCATTTTATTCTGAATAAACTGCATAATTTCATTCTGTATCTTACAGACATTGAGACGTGAGAACATTTCGACAAAAGAACCGTTATTCATCTTGTATATAGATAAGTACTTACTTTACCATCTCCCCCGTCCATTCTCGGTCTTTTCACCTAAAACCCTTCAGCGAAATGAATTTCTGGTCACATTCTCATCAATGTAACCAGACTTTTTCAACACCAAGACGGTTAAAAACCGAGTTACCGCTGTGCTGTTTACACTCACCGAGATACCTTACTTAACCGGATGTTACGAACTGCTAGGAAGTAGTACGTATAATTTGAAAAATAAAAGCATACATTAAAAAAGTTCAAATAAGAAACGCACAACAAAGTGTCTAAGTTAATACATTTCTTCACCGATACAAATACACTTTAACCAGTCACAAAAGTATTTACATATTTAACTCTTTTTCTCAAGTTGCAGTTATAAAACATTTTATTTTGAAAACGGTTTTACGTTGCTTTATTAAATTACGAAGTAAATTTCTAAGTCGCATTTGACATATATGGCATTTTTAACAATTTACGTGTATTTCGTTACTTGGTTGTGCAATAAAATGGCAGCCTGAAACATACCTACTACTGTCCTTTCAAAGTGACATGAACCCAGTTAATTATTCACCTTCTATTTAAGATTTTTGTCATGAAACACACACAAAAACGAGAGCAAACACAAAAATATTTTATTTCTATACTGTAAACATTCAGAAAAAAAAAAATTCAAGTTTGTGAGTACATATCTGATCTTAAATCAGTTTTTTGTGTTTTTTTTTCTTTTTTGAAAATGGAGCTGCATGCAAAGTACAAAACGGATTTATTTTAATCTAAACACCTTCCAATCCAGTACACAAAGCACATCTAAATAAAATGCTAAGTTGAGCAGAGTTAAAAAAAAGAAAGAAATTGTGACAGTTTATGGGATTTCTTGGGGCTTTGTGTCCTCCTCTGGGATTTAAAGAGATTTAAAGACCAGAACAAGCTTTCCACACATATACATACAGATCAAAGGATTTACATATTTCCTGGCTTGCTTCCCCCCAAACATCCAGGCAAGGATTTTACATTTCAACATTTGTATCTTCCCGGCGAAGAGTGCTCTAATCCCTCTCTCTCTCATGATTCGGCCGTGGGTCGGATCCAGCAGGCGGGGACCCACTGTGGTTCATCCTGTGCCTTCCTGACGGCTGTCAGCAGCTGGACGCAGGAGTCCTGCAGCTCATCGTTGACGATCACCTGATCAAAGAACTGCCAGTACTGGGCCTCGATCTTCCGGGCTGACTCCTCCATCTCGTGGAAGTCTTCATCCTGTTGAAAATCAAAGTCAGGTTGGATTTCAGCCTTTGGGGAGTTTTGTGGGTCAATGACCAACAATGTCCATAAAAAAACAATAAAAAAATTGATACTCAAATCTTTAGCTTACTTTTTTGTCTGACCTACTTAAACACCGTGTTGTTCAGCTTTTAAGCCCAGCATACACTGAGTTTTGCAATAGCCACATAGGAAAATATATAGTTTTTGAATGATATAGAGAATACATTGGGATGATAACTGTTTTTAGATAAAAAAAAAAATTAAAAATTAAGGATTTAAAGAAATTGCAAAAAGTTTGAATTGTATTATATAAATGAATCCAAGGTGGAAAAGAAGTGGCTCCAGTACAATTCCTTGGGGTTCACCTCATGATAATCTGAGCGCTAAAACCACCAAACACACAACAGCAGAAATAACTCTTGGTAGTCATTTTCTGTCATCGTGTTTGACAGTTTGCATGAAATCTTTGTGCTGATGCTGATTTTTGATGTCGGTCAAACATCTCTACTTTGGTCTCATCTTTCAAAACTTCATTTCAGATCAATTTTGAAGTTGACCCTCTAAGACCTAGTGCTGGTTCCCCAGTGACATCATCTTACACCTACTACTGTCTGTCACTAAGAGAAACTAGATGTAAACAGTTAAACCCAGCCATCAGAGAGCATACTGTGAATGGACGGTTGACATAGTAGTTGGTGGTGATGTACGAGTCCTGTCTCGTCTCCCTGAGGCGCTCCAGAGGCGGGGGCTTCACGTAGACAACGTAAGCTCTCAGCTCATGAGTCCTCACTGCCTGAACAACCTAAAGAATAAGGCAAAGTGCTTTTGTTTTACTCTGCATCATCAGTTCTGTCCTTAAAGCGGGCGCATGGCGAGGCTTACGTTTGGCTCTATGTCGACGATGCAGATCTTTCCGCTGTTTAAGACGTCTTTCACAGCATCAATGCTGGTTCCGTAAAGGTTACCTTTGTACTCGCCAAACTCCAGAAACCTATCAAAAAATAACAGCGTTAAATTACAACATCACAATTTATTTGAAAGCGAAAAGCATGTGACAGATAGCAGCTTTACCGATTATTGTAGACCATATGATCAAAAATCTCTCGGCTGGTGAAGTAATATTCTCGCCCGGATTCCTCGTACCCTCTTGGACTTCTTGTCGTGTCTAGTGAAAGAGGAAAAACTAAATGTATGACTTAAACTGGCTAAAACAACAATGATTCATAATATTTTTGTGACTCTGAAGGCTTTACACGTACGAGGTATAGCTCCCTGGAAGACGTTTGGGTTCATCTCGATCAAGCGCCGTCGGAGTTCATTCACACCGACACCAGATGAACCTGAGGAACAACAAGACAAAGTCTTTTTTCATCCAGACCCGTGATATTCTGAAATCAAACTGCATACTTCTCCGGATTGTACAGACATCAAACCAAAGTTTTATTTCTGTACCTATGAGGGCAATGACGCGATGCGTGTCCTCTGGGTGGCGCTGGTAGCGGACCACCTCCTCGTAAGGGTTATTTAGGACGCTGCTGCAGCTGCTGGGACAGCGGATGTGGGCGGAAGGCTGAGTTGTGCTCTGGGAACGCCGGCGACACAGACGGATGCTGCGCCTGAACCCCGCTGACGGTCAAACACAAAGGATGTCAGAGGCTAAACCTTGCAGATGCTTTTTGTACCTTAACAGAAGGCGCAGTGAACACGTATTTTACGCGCTGTTGAAGTTCACGTGTTAATTATACGTGGCACTTTCATGTGTTTTCGTCATGTAAGCATCACGTCAGAGCAGGGGGCGTCACTAAGTTTCAAGGAATGGAGATGCCAAGATGTACCAAACAGCAACAAAAACAGAGAAGTTGCTTTAAGCAGTTAACTGATATAATAAAAGGCTTTCCTAGCAAATCTTAAGATAATTATAATTTTCTGCAGGTCTGCATATAAAATTTGTAAAATTTATAAAACTTATGTTGCCTCCTAAGGACAATAATACACTCATTGACTTTTGATTTCTCTCATGGAATTCATACAAATTATGTAAAAAGCACCTTTAAATATTAAATGTCCACTCTAATAAATAATTGCTTTGAGGTCAGTAGTTACCCAAGTAAACTCCTTCAATGTTGCTGCTGAAGTCATCCTCCTCTGATGGGGAGAAAAAGAGCAGAGAAGGAACATTTAGCAAACTTATTGATTAAGTGAAAACCTAATGGATGGAGAAATTATGACTGTAAACATGATACATCTACAGAGGCTGAAATCTATTAAACTTTCCTTCTCTCAAATTAATTCAAAGATTCAGGAAACCATCAGTTTCCTCACCTTCTCTGAGCTCCTCTGATGTTTTGCGCATCAGGAATCACAAAGGTTTGGAAAAGGAAAAACAAAAAGTTTTCCATGAAGGGCAGGAAAACGCATCGAGTCGTCGACTTCAGGCTCCAAAACAAATTTATCAAAGACTTACCTACCAGATTCAAATGCCTCCTCATCTGTTTTGACCCAAAAACACACACAGAAAATTGAATACAAAAGAAGCAAAAAAAAAAAAAAGTGATAGTTCATCTGAACTATATCTTACCTGCTTCAACACATCTCTCATCAATGGCCATCAAATCCTCCTCTGTGAAGAAAAATAAAGATGTGGAAGGATTTTTGGAGAAAATAATTCAGCAGAAATCTGAACGTAACTTCTGTTTACCTTCGTCGA